TAATCGAGTGTTTACATGATCTATACTGGACAAATATATTGAAGTGTCGTATAACTTCATGCGGTTTCTTTCAAACGTACAGAAATCCAAAAACATCACAGAATTTGGCAAAGATTAAGGCACAATCAAAAAGAGCTCTTGTCCAATAAATAGCTTAATAATTGAAACCGACATGCTTTTGAAGTTGGTCACCATTTAAGTTAGAAATCTGGAGAAAAAAAAAGAGCTACTAACAATCGCCCTTTCGGAATTCTAGGGGTCTAGAATTCGCCGAAATTTTACGTGGTGGAATAGGTGGATATGCTGATCGAAAGTCATTGTTTTTTTCTGAGTGGTTCAAAAAAATTTTTAAAATACTGATTAAGGATATCATAACGATCCAATATAGAGTCATTTCGCTAAATAGTTGCAGAATTGATCAAACTTCTCTTGCAGAAAAACTGATGATCGAATTAACCGTCACTTACCCACCGATTACACAGCCTTAACGTATGGAATTTTATGACTTTTCGAACGGGAATTCCCAATTAACCCCCAAAATTCTTAGCCATATTTTTGTGAACAACCCTCGCTTACTACCGCAATTTTACAATAAGTTCTTACTGCAGCGCCCGTAGTAGTGTTGCAGAATTCTATAATTTTAATGGCAATCTGGGAATAATTTTCTTACACGATCTTCACTCAAATATTTTCTAACTCAGCCACGCCAGATTAGGTTACCAGGCTTACCGTTTTGTAGAGCAAGATTTCATCTTTTCAGCCATTTATTAATCCATACACATCTTCTGATTTCTCAAAGATCGTAAGCTTGAAAGAAATCGCACGAATTTACAGCATAGTAAATTCATACCCATCTGTGTAAAAACCTAGAAGAGTTAGCATGGTGTTACATAATATGATTTTTTTACTAAAGTTTATTTTTGCGTATTCGTTATGTGACCAGAGCTTGAATATGTTTCAAAAGCTCTTTTCTTGCACTACAAAGCCCTTCCATCATCATATCTCCACTTTTGATTTTGTTAGCTTTTTGAGCTGAGATATAAGAGGTCATGTCGACAAAAACCTGCTTACTAGGATTTTCCCCAAATTAGCGCAGTTTCTTGAAGTTTATATGAAAAATAAATTTTTTGAGGTAGCAGTAAGTTAGTTCATTATTGTTTAAATTCTCCTCCTACTTTTTCTTCAAATTTATTAATGCCATTACAGTAAAATCGTGAGACCTCCTCGCGAGCAACCGCTCAGCCAATTCTTGGGAGAATCCCATCAAAGTTTGCATGTTCCTTATGGTTGGAACATAGTTATACTTAGGTTGTTAAACATCTTTCAAATGGTTTCCTTTAGACACGAAAAAACTAGAGATGGTGTAGCGTCTTAGAGGTCAATAATTGAGCCTAATGCACCAAAATTTAGTAGACCACTGCTGCATGGCGCAGTATCTAGTTCTTTAGGCTCGAAAGCAGCAGTAGCAGGTGTCGAAAATGCTGTTTCTTGTCCATTGACATTACATTTTTTTGAAAGTCGCAATAAAGTCAAATGCTTTGAAAATGCGATACATATAATTTCGTAGACTGAGGAAAGAGCTTTCAAACCATGTACAATATTTGGTCAAAGTATGGTAAAGCAATGGAGAAATATGCGTTAGAATAAATTATAGAATATAACAACGGAATACATAACAAACTTCAAACTCTTCTAATCTGCTTTTGTCTTTTTCTTTCAGGACAACCCGATTCAGATCCCTGCGTTTCCGTGTACACCGCAACAGGTAAAGTAAAGTTTACAAGAACTCATCCCTATTAAGAAAATATTTTCAAGGAGAATGGAACACCGTCGATTGCGGCAAGACCGAGTGCTTCGCTTGTGAGACCCCACAGGCAATGAGTGATTGTGCTGATTGGTATAAAGCGGGTTACAAGGAGTTCGTGCAGCCATTGATTTATGAATTACTGGTTTAAAACTTATTTCTTCAGCAGCGGATTGTACAGAATCTTAATTAATGGGCTTTCATACAATGTCTATTGCAATATGGACAATGGCGGTGGTTGGACAGTTTTTCAAAGGTGCAACTTCTATTTTCTGTATTTTAAATTATTTTAAAATGGTTGAAAGTTGCTACGAAATCCCTGTAAGATTGCAGCCGCGTTAATGGAAATGAATCGTATTGGGATAGAAAATGGATGGAATATAAAAATGGATTCATCACGGACCGAATGAGCAGGGTATTTTTTGATAACTCCGATACTTGAAAGTTCTGCAACGGCATAACATTACAGAGTTCAAACTTTTGGTTAGGACTCGAGTTACTACATCAATTGACAGCTAAGGATGATGATGTAACCCTGAGAATCGAGATGAGAGGTGACCGAACGCCAGGAACTTCTAAACCAAATGAGTATTGGTTCAACGAGTACACGAAGTTCCAGGTTAGTATAGAAGCAATAGGACCTGAGTTGCGCCTAGAAGAGTCATTGTTCATAGCTTTTTCCAATTTTCGATATAAATCGGAAGAAGTTTGATGTGTAGATATGAATAATTCTCACTCTTAAACAATCTTCTCACTTCAAAAAAATAAATTTAAAAAATTATAAATGAAAATTGGTTTTCGCCCATAAATACGTAATACGATAACAGGTCTTACAGCATGAAGTCAACATTTTAAAACCCGAAGGATCAAAAACAAACAGAAAGCAAAGAAAAAATGTCTTTAAAAAAAGAGAAAGGGATATTTGCTTGCCTTTTAGCAGTTATAGTGGCAAAGCTAAACCAAGTGTTCTCTGGAAGTTGAGATAACGGTCCATCTGACTGACAATATTTGTTTTTTTCAAGGTTTTACTATGGCGACAAAGAGAGGCTACGAACTACGAATTTGATTATAATGAACTTGGTTTTTAGTCGTTAACTTACAAGAGAGATACTCAGTCATGGCGATTAACAAAGTTATAGTAGCTTCAGCTTGAAACGTTAATTCCAAACCTGCCATGTCCTTACCAATATTTTTTTCAGAAATATGAAGAAATGCTTTGTCAAAAATAGCATACACGCCAGCAGTTGAAACATCAGCTTACCTTGAAAAAACAAGAAAGGTTATTACATGATAGAAACTTTACTTCGTCAATATTGTTTTGCCTTGCTGTTTTGAGCCGAAGTTTGCCTTTTGAGCACTTT